CACGTGACCAGCTACCACAGCTACCACGGCCACACTGGCAACTGGCTCACCGACCATTTGGTTTAAAGTCGACAAGTCTGCGACGTTTGACGACTCTTGGCGGAAACTTTGGGAGAGGCGCCGAGGGGGTAAGGTTGGCAGCCCATGCGCAAGAATTGAAAGAAGTCCGGCAAATGGCTCATGAGGCTCTATTCCTGGAAAAGGCGCGTTTTGTATCGTTTTGCACCTTCTGCTGTTTCTTTCTGGACCCAATTTTGCCAACAGCTCTAAGGTATAGCTGACAGCTGACATCCGTAAGGCAGCAGTATTTGTACTGCGTGTCTGGTAGCTAGCCACTGGATTGGAGCCAAATGATCTGATTTGGTTCTGTCACTACTACGCTAGATTGATTAGATTTCACTTGCTTATTCAGGCCTTCCACACAGAACAGTGGAGTCAGTCGCATTGAAAGATATTGATAGCGTTGATAGCCGATAGCGATCTCCCCATCTCGGGTGGAGAGAGAAAACTGTTCCGTGGAGATGCTGCCTGACCTCTTAGCCATAGAGACTAGCCCATAGACTGGGTGAATCCGAAAGGTTCTCAACGACCAGGATCAGCGCGCGTAGAATCTTAAAAGCTCGCAACAATGTTGCCGATGCTTGAAATCATCGCTTTTTTCGCAGAAGATCCAAAAATTGCGTGGTTCCGGGCTCTTGGAATCTTCTGGAACATCCGCCAAGGGTATTCTGCTGGTTTTCAATATTCCCTCGCATCATTTTGGGGGCATGAGAGGAATGAGTAAGCACTTGTGAAACTAGGTACGGTCAGGTTGTGTTTCCTGGATGAATGATCCTGGCTGTATTTTTAAAGGGGTACCTCATGATACCTCCAGCGCGAGATACTGAATCAAGACCGGAACAGGTAGAGGTAGAGCTTGAACTGCTGAAACAACCACGTTGTTCATGAATCCGGGGTTGAGAATCAATAGTGTTTGACAACTATGACATAGCAAAACATGGCATAAGACTCCTGTGAGATAATGTACTCAACTGATTGCATGATCCCCGCAGTATTGCTCAAACAAGTTGGGCTGTAAACTCCTTTGTGGAAAGCCATGACAGTCGGCGGCAGGTGCCTGCTGTACAGCCACGGGTGTGATCGGTGTTTGGAGAGTCACCTCAATGGCTGAGGGGAATGCAATTCTGCGGTTTGAGTCTGGTCAGATTGGATTCTGATGGATTCTGTGTAGGCAATCTCCAGCTTGACTTGAGGCTTTCCATGGCTTTCCCATGGAGATTTCTTTCACCCGGAGTAGGGATTTCCCGTGAATTTCCCGTGGATCTTCTCCCAAAATGACCTCAGGGGCGGCAAGTTTGTCGTCGCTGGCGGCGCTGGCGCTGGCGGCCACGGCGGAGCAGCAGCAGGAGGCTACACTATAATAGTATATTATAGGGATTATATATAGTAGACTATAATAGTATATTAGTGATACTACAATCCAATGTGTGATATTATGATACTATTATATTAATTGATGGATATTGTGATGCTACACTATGATATACTATAATCTTATATTATAGGTGAGTGATACTTGAATCCCATGATGGGACCATAGTATCATGATTATGAATGAATGATTATGATGTCCAACCATTAATGTGCTTGAATCAGTGATACTAAAATGATATTAGTGTAAGAACTATAGTGATATTGATGAGTGTTATATGACAATAAACATAGATACTATTCAATTACTATTTACTATTGTTCATCGATTATCCACTAGAATTATGATGGACGTAAAACAGCGAATAGTGATACTATAGTGAGGATGACACTTAAAAGTGATACTAGAGTTCAATTCATGGTAATGTTGTGAGGATCATCATTGTACGAACCTTCAGACCGAACAGACAAAGGGGCTAAGTGCTGTATTCCAAATGGTCGACAACAGCATTTGGGTTTGTTTCAAGGACTGTCATTTTCCATATTAAATCAACGCTATTTTGGGGTGGCAAGAATCCAACTATCAGATAAACTCAGACCCATGTCAATAGTTTTGGTCATATATATATATAGTAAATATATATATATATGTATATTAAAAGTCATTTAAATACATGTAATAGCACAATGATATAGCCAACCCCAACAACCATATATATATATATATATATATATATATATCCCCCATGATCTCCACATTCTGGTTGGTTTCATACCCCATCTTGTGATGTGTTGATTCACCTCCGTCCACAGGCGGCGATGCTTGCGGTCCTTTGACAGCAGGGCGGATGCGGTGGATGCGGTGGACGCGGGATATGATCTTAATGGGTCTTTAATGGCACTCTAATGGGACTGACTGGGTGGTTTTATGAGACTTCATCAACAATGGTGGTTCAATGGGACTTTAATGTGATTTCAATGGGTGCTTATATAGTGATGGTTATACCTTTGTTTTTAGGGAATGAAACTCCATTTGCCAGCTATGTTGCTGTTCACTAAAATCATTGGCATCTTGATGTTTTTTCCTGTGGAGATTTAAAACTACCCTCCGCGAGACAACGTGCAATGACACTCTTCTGAAAGTCAATTGTGCAAATACACATGTAGAACATAAAATTAATACACATATATGTATATATATATATGTATCTGTATATATATATATGCGTATGCAGGAAAACTAAAATCACAATTTCTATCTCTAATGATGTTTAATGGTCCTGGATACCATATACTGGTCATCATGCTGAAATGATCAGATCACAGAGAGTCATGTGGTCCATCTCTGAGGCGCTTGCTGCCACTTGGCTTCATTGTGAGGATGTGGGGAGACAAAAAACCATCAAAACCCCGCAAAACCCACAGCTTTTCGCAGCAAAATAGCTGTTGTTCTGGATGTTCATTTCTGATTGATAGAAAGAAATCACAGGTTCTCGATCCATTTTTTTTCATGGCGAAATCCCTATCTAATGGTTGATTAAGTCCCAAATGCCTAATTTGGACGTGTCTTTGGCTGTCAAATCCCCATTTTATGGTTAATTAAACCATCGGTTTCATTAATCAACATGACTCGTTTTGGAAGATTTGGATCTCCAACGGTTGAAGGAAACCAACGATCTTCATGGTTGATCCAGGTTTTGAGGCAGACCCAGAGGCTGTCAGGCACGAAGAACGCTGGGTGCCGTGCTGAGCCATCTATTTATTTGGATCATTTGTTATCATGGATTGACAATAATAACAGCATGTTCATGGATTTTGCCTCTGAAAACTGAAAACGAAATGTTTTTTTTGCGGTACACCTCATTTTCAGACATGCCCACGTTGATCATGTTGGTTTGTCAAATGGTTCTCCACCGGTCCAATCAGCCAATTCAAGTTTCACAAAGAGAATGAAGACAGAAGCAGAGACAGATTTGATGTTCAGCCTATTCGTGGACTGTTGAAGGACAGAGGGCTTGTCGCACAAGTATTTACATTGAACACAGGCAAGGATTGTGCTTCTTCTCTTTGCGTACCAAGGTGTATGTCGGTGAAGGCGTGTGGGTGGGAATGGAACGAGTCAGCGCCAGTCTTCGCACATTTTCGTAATATCTCTTCAAAGGTTGCAGAAACACCCTGCGCTGCCACATTTTGTCATGTGAGGTGCCGGAAGTTACTCCCAAGTCGCCAACATGGAGATGGTGGGTGCTGGGTACTGCTGGCATGTCCTGAAGCTTGCAGCTCCATCTGCCAAGTCCCATGTTTTATTTGCTTTCTTCTCTTTTTAGAGAATATGACACGGACTGCTTTGAATTCGGATCTATGTTGTCATTTTTTGTCTAAAAACAAGTTGCATTTAGTGTGTCACCTTGACATTTTTCCCAAAATCTATGAATTACAGATTCATAGATGATTTCCCCAGCTCTGAAGCTCCATTAGCAGATTTCCCAGCTCGCCATGTTTGAATAGTCTAGGAAACGCTGTGGATACCCTCCAATCCCCTGGTGGCTATCTTTTTGCCAGGCGAGGAGAGTTTGAGAAGGAGAGGTACACCACAGTGACTGGTGACCTGTTTTCAAAAAGGAAACGAAATCGCCATGCGCTGGGGGGGGGTTCCAAAGATGGATTTTTCTATTGGATATGATATGGGATGATATGGCCGTGGGGTTCCATGTAAAATTTAGGTGCACATGTGTACATACTATATATATATATACACATACACATAAAAACTCATAAAACATCATAAAGCAGAACATATTGTGCATATATATATATACATACATGCGTGTGTATATATATAGATATGAATCTGTACATGAAATTTATCTAGTGTGTTTATATGGATATTACTCGTCTTTGATATGGAATGGCATTGTTTCATTGCTGTCTTCCATGGCCGGCCTTGACCCAGGTTGGAGGTGCAAAGTTTTGGGCTGGGCGGGCTGATGGTGGAAGGATATCAAGTATTTCATGGTGATCTAAAATTGCATTGCCCGTGGCAGTGTTAGGGGTGTAAAAGTGATTTATATAAAAGTGATTTCCAGAAATATCTCACAATATCTCCAGTGACTTCCAGTCTGTGATCAGACTTTTTTTTTTCAGCTCCATGCCACCTGAATCAACTTCTCACTGCTTTCCCATGGTAGAATCCCAGCAGAAACTGTGGAGCAGGGTCCGCGCGTGCTGCGTGGGCACCACTTGCTTTCTCACGGTGATTGCCATCCTTTTGCCGATCGCCTGGGCAAACGATTGGTGGCATCTCGGCGCGCCATGTCGTGCCGGGTTGTCTGAAAATAGGGGCTATCTGTCCCAAAATGTCCCAAAATTTATGGTTGATCACCATTTTCCCCCCAAGAATGCCATTTTCAGACACAGCCAAGAATGAACACTTGTACCGTATTATGGTCAGACATATCCCATGAGCCAAGCCCTTGAGGTCGTCCTCGATCAGCTGGGATGTTGGGAATGAGGCCGCCCTGGTGGGGGTACCTGGGGGTGCATGATGCATGACTTGCCTACAGTTACGA